CGGCACCCGGGCCTGCTGGGACCCGGGAGGAGGGTCTCCGCGGAGCAGCGTGTAGCTTGGTCACTGCGAGGCCGTGTGCCCCTGTCGAGCAGCGCAGCAGGGTCTGACTTGTTGTCGTCTGGGTCTGAGCTGCACTTCTTCACTCCTGTGCCTTTAACTTCTCACATGCTGTGCCCGAGCCCCTGCGTGGTGTCATCGTCTCTTTCAGCGTTTCCGGCTGATGGGTTACTCTGTCCGTGTGTCGAACCCGCGTCCAGACGTCCTTTGCTCACAGCTCTGTAGGATTTGCCTCTAAATGCCGGATCCAGGGTTTTCCCTCTGCACGTCTCCCTCCGTGCTGTAGCTGGTACGACAGGAACCCCGTGCCACAGACTTTTGGCTGGATGTTTCTCAGCTACTTGTGTAGCACAGTCGCAGCACTTAAACTTCTTAGTATTTCCAGGTTTCCCTGGTCTTGCTGCTGCCTGCTCCTGGGTGTTATCTGAGGAAGCCTAACGGTACACCAGGCTCTCTGGGTCACGCTCCAGCTGCTTCCCCAGTAGGATACGAATGTCGTCTGAACCACAGAATGCCTTGTTGTGTTGGTGGGACTTAGCGGGAGCTGGGGACCTTGCTGGCCAAGTTTGAGAAGCGCCACTTTTCACCCCAGAGAGCTGCCGTCGAGGGCACATCGCTCCGGGCTGTGCAAAGACCACTTTCCCCTCGGCATTGCTGAGCTGGCAAAATCCTTCTGTGAACTTCAGCTGGTCCGTTCTGTCTTTCTTGCTGTCTGTAAAGGGAGCCTTTTACAGTGTCAGATTTACGAAGGTGATACCTTAAGTTAAACACAACTAAATTCTGCGTGGCCAGTCCCCCAGCAGCTCTCCTGGGGGGGTTGATGCCCACATTGTTGCTTCGACTTGGCAAAAAGGGTTTGGGTCAGGAACCTGAACAGACCCAAGTCTGTGGGACCTGACGAGATGCATCCCGGGCTGCTGAGGGAGTTGGCTGATGGAGTTTCCAGGCCACTCTCCATCCTGTTTGAAAAATCATAGCAGCCAGGTGAGGTCCCTGGGCACTGGAAGAAGGGAGACATCGCGCCCATCTTTAAAAAGGTAGAAAGAAGGACCCTGGGAACTACTGACTGGTCAGCCTCACCTCTGTGCTGGGGAGATCATGGAACTGATCCTCCTAGAGGATCTGCTCAGGCACGGAGAGGATGAGGGGAGGATTCCAGACAGCCAGCACAGCCTCACCCAGGGCAAGGCCTGCCTGGCCAACCTCGTGGCTTTCTGCACTGGAGTGACTGCATCAGTGGGCAAGGGAAGAGCGATGGGTGTCAGGTCTCTGGACATCTGCGAGGAAGGCCTTTGACACAGTGCCCCCCAACACCCTTCTCTCTGAGTTGGGGACGTATGGGTTTGATGGGGGGCTGTTTGGTGGCTGAGGAGTTGGTTGGATGGTCACACCCAGAGGGTGGTGGTCAGTGGCTCGACGTCCAGATGGAGACAAGTGGTGCCCTCAGGGGTCCGTGCTGGGACCAGTGCTCTTCAGTATCTTCAACAGTGATACAGACAGTGGCATCGAGGGCACCCTCAGCCAGTTTGCAGATGACACCGAGCTGTGTGGTGCGGTCGGTACGCCACAGGGGTGGGGTGACTTCAGAGCAACCTGGACAGGCTGGAGAAATGAGCCCATGTGAGCCTCATGAGTTTCACCAAGGCCAAGTGCAAGGTCCTGCACCTGGGGCACGGCAGTCCTCCTTTTCAGTACAGGTCGGGGGATGAGATGATAGAGAGCAGCCCTGAGGAAACGGGCCAGGGGATACTGGTGGACGAAGAAATAGACATGAGCCAGCAACGTGTGCTCACAACCCAGAA